ATAGTCTAAATCGTAGCAGTCTATATCAAAAAAGTCAACATCATAACAGTCTATATCAAAAAAGTCTACATCATAACAGTCTTCATCATAGCATTCTATATAATAACAGTCTTTAGGAACTATTTTAATAAAAAAATATGGGAGGCGGTAGACGGTATTTTTTTTATTACTTTTACAAAGAAATATATCTTCTATAGTCAAACTCAATAATCAACAGCCAGCATATGCAACTTGTTTTCTATTGCACCATAGGACACAATTTTAACTTTAAACAGTGAATTAAATCATTCTTAATATTAACTATTTATTCTTACTTAATTCTTTACTTTACTACATTGTAACTGTTTGTAACTTTTTTGGAAAACATGATACTAGTTACTTTTTTTAGTTACTAGTTAGTTTTGTTTGACTAAATTATTGCCTTTATTTATAAGAACCTAGTATTGAGTTATGACTTAAGTTACACAGTTACTTATGTTACAGTTACTTATGTTAAGTAACAACATACTATAAAGTTTGACTGCAGATAGTTTTTACTTGTTAAGTTTTATTTGTTGTTTGGCTCAAACTTTAACAAATTATAAAAGTGTGAATATCTTATGAAATGTTAGAACTATTACATTAAAAATTGATATTGTATTAAAAAAATTTAAAAATAAAATTTTGATGAAACAATAAAGTTTTAATAGCCTTTGATAATAGTCTTAAATATTTGAAATACTTAACTATCTATATATTTTTTATCTAGAATGTGCTTATGTTTCAAATTATGAAGCAAGTTTTTGTGTTTATTCCAACTTCACCACTACTTCAAGTAACATATTTTTTTAATCCTAATGTACATATAATTGTAAATGTTCATTTTAATTTGTATTATTATTTATTTGTTGTTGTTGTTATTTTTTTTTTATTATGAATCCACAGATATATATATATATATATATATATATTTATATATATATATATATATATATATATATATATATATATATATATATATATATATATATATATAATATATATATATATATATATATATATATATATATATATATATATATATATATGTATATATATATATATATATATATATATATATATAAATATATATATGTATATATATATATATAAATATATATATGTATATATATATATATATATATATATATATATATATATATATATATATATATATATTATTATTATTATTATTATTATTATTATTATTATTATTACGAAATCACCCAATAAATTTTTTATTTATTTTACACTGTGTTTCATCAATAAAGACTCATCAGAAATATGATAAGTCTTTATTGATGAAACACAGTGTTAAATAAAAAATTCTTTTCTCAAGTGATTTTCTACTAATTAATAATTGCTCTGTTCTTTTAAGAAAATTGAGCACATTATTTTGTAGAATACATTTTAAAATTGCATCTTCTGGAATTGATGTTTGCCTAGAAACTATTATTTATTTTTGCTCTTCAAAGTTTTCATTTTTAAAAGAAATAGTGAAAAAGAAATAGTTAAAAAGCAATAATTTTAATTTTTTTTTAATTTTTCAATCTATTTATTAAACGTCAATATATAATAATCGGAAGAATGTTAAACAGTTTTTCAGAGTATCCTGTAAAATGTTTTCTTACTGTAAAATTCAAAGTAAGTTCCATACTAATTACTGAGCATATGTTTGCCATTAGATAAATTGCTATTGGCTTCTATAACAATGCAATCTAGTTGTCAATAAACATCAATTAATCAAGCCTCTTCTATAACGTCCTTACTTATTGTGTAATTTTCAATTAGTAGAAGTTGCAACAACTACTATTTCTGATTAACTGATGGCAGAGCTGAGGCTTTTTATTGCATAATTTAACAAAATCAAGTATTATCTTTCAAATGAGCTACTACAACACTAATTTGCATAAAAGCTATGTCAAATTAAATGGTTTCAAATGCCCTGTCATTTAAAACCATTTAATTTGAAGTAATTTTTTTAGTTAAAATTTCACTTATATAGCTGAATACCTTTGCGGTCCAAAGCGGTCCAGTAATTTGAAACTTGAAATACATTGTTTAATATTTATATTATCAATATAAATTTGTTTTATGATCCGCGGATGTCTGCCTGGTCTTTATTAATGATTTTTGTAAGTTAACCGGTGAAAAAAAGATAGCTAGTTGACGCAAAACGTTTTCAAAACATTTAAAACATGTATTAATACATGTTTTGTATGTCTTTAGGGCGTCTTTTACCCATAAGTAGCTTATCTTGCACCAGGTAAATGATGTATCTAATTTTTTGTGGCGAAAACATATGTATTTTATTCTAAATGGTTATGTAATAATTGGGTCTCAGCAAGACTAGATTAATTCTACAAACTTGTTTTATTAATTGTACATTCTCAAATACCTATTTGTAAAATTTTGTAAATAAAATTTATACTTTTATATAGTTAAAAAATGAAAAGTATTGATATTTAAAACCTAAAGTTAGCTGATCCTAATATTTTATATACACAAAAATGTTAAAACTCAGGGTTTCTTTTCATACGGATTATGTAGTAGTTTCATGAAATATAAAATAGAAATATAAAATAGCCTTGAAGCTGCATAAAAACACTTAAAACTAGTAATTGGGAATGTGTTGAATTTTTAAATGCATAAAATAATTTTTATGTCATACTATTAGTCCAGTTTATAAAATTGATGCTATTTAAGATAAGTTACTTATGCTGGTAACTATTCAAAATTAAACCGTTGCCAGGCATTTCAGGCGTCACTATCAACCAAATAAAAAATCCATAATACCACTACATTTGTAGTATCAAAATACTCAATGTAGTAATTATGGGAGAAATCCAGTAAAGTTATTACTTTTTGTACTTTATATTTGTTAAGGTAATAAAATATGTGGTTGCTAAGCAGTTTAGGTATCCATAGTAACCCAAAGTTAAAAAGAATGTCACCATTAAAACCGCAATTCTCAAATTAGTAAACAGTACAAAAATGGTTCTTAAATCTTTTTTAAACGACGTGTTATTAGTTTTGTTCAGTACAAATGATTCCTGGCTCACTGTGCAAAGGTGAAACATTTTTTTTGTGACAATTACTTTGACTTTCCATTATTATTCAAGTTGAAAACTTCAATAAATTAATTTTATATATATATATATACAAATATTATATGTATAATTTTATAAATATTCTTAGTGAAAGTTTTATTTTTTAATGAGCTATTTATAAACTTTTGCACGATTATATTTTGAATGAAATTTAAATTTCTTCCTTCCTTTAGAGGTTATCATTTTTTTGAGTTAGTTGTTCTTTGTAGTCACATAGAGGAACATTTGGTAAAAATTTCATTTATTTTTAATGAAAAGCAAAAAGTTATGCCAAAAAACTCTAAATTTTTTGCTGTTTTTAGACTTCAGCATGCTACTGTATATTTATTTATATACTGTACATTTATATATATACAGTGTGGTGCAAACTTATAACCTAACCAAAAATTTAAGATCTAATTAAATAATTATTTTTAAATTCTTCAATTGATTATTATTTTACATGAATAATATTTCATTTGTAATAGAGTCTGGTTTTATTTTGTTAATTGATTTGAAAATTTTAGAAAAATGATGGAGCAAAATTATAACCTCATTTTAATTTTATAAGCAGTCTAATATATATATATATTTATTAATATATATGTATTTATATATATACATATATATATATATATATATATATATATATATATATATATATATATATATATATATATATATATATGTATATATATATATATATATATATATATATATATATATATATATATATATATATATATATATATATATATGTATATATATAAATACATATATATTAATAAATATATATATATATATATTAGACTGCTTCAATTTGAGGTCATGAAAAAATTTTAAGTACCATGGAGTGTTATCTGCTGCGTTGACCCTTATTTTATTAGTAGAATTTTTTTTTTTTAATTTTGACCACTTTTAGCGGTTGCTCAAGTGCCTCAAAAGTCATATTTTAGGCTTTTTTACCCTTTTTTAAGCCCATTTTTTGCACGTTTGAGCAAGTACTAAAACTCAAAAAAATTGAATTTTTTTTTTTTTCTAGAGTTTTTTCTAAGTTAGAATAAAAAAATTAAAATGCATGGTAATTTTATTTTATTGAAATAATTTGGGTAAATTTATCTAAAAAAACGCAAAGTTATGCAATTGTTGCGCTTCGCGTTAATTTAAAAATGTTGCGTATTTGCTTAAACATGTTATGCAAATTACATTTTAACAAAAACGATATTTAATTTTGATTTAAAAACGCGGGAAATAAATATAGATTACTCTTATAATATACTTACTCCATATACTAATTAAAGCTATTTACTACCGATTTATTCATGTCAGGGAAAAGTAAGAAAAAAGTTGACACACATTTTTTGGCAAGGGAATCCAGGTCATCCTTACCAAAAGACAAGTTTGCTACAAAGCAAGAGGTTTTGCAATACTTCTTGTATTTAAAGGAGAAGTACCCAAAACAAAAAGAAAGTAGAATTATCCACTGTCCATTGACAAAAAACTTTGAAATCAGCTGCCATAATGAAAAACATATTTGCTGCACTCTTTCAAAGTTAATTACACCTTGGTTGAAGGGTGGATTTCAGATTTTACAATTACAAACAATTAGGTAGGTACCAGACTGTATATGTTTTTTTTATTTATATATTATTACTTATTAGCGGAAAATATTAATATGACTAATGTCTGCTGTTAAATAAGTTAATAAACAGAAATAGGTGTGTTGTAAAATATACCGAACCTATAAATCACATTTTTTAGTATAAAGATAAAAAAGCTGATCCGAACCTGAAAACTGTTAAAAAAAAACAAAGCAAGACAAACTTTATCAGAGATTGAAAAAAGGAGGTTTTTAACTCAGATAAAAAGTATCTTTTCGATTGCACCTGAGCTCGATACTCTGGTTGCAATCATTAAAGCTTATAGGAAACGAAAGGATCAAGACAAGACTGAAGATATTGCATTTTTATTAGACCAATTAGGAGATAGAAAAACTAGAATAGGTGGAATCGATACAAGGTACCTTTACTCTGTAAACAGGAGTTTATCCAAAATTAAAAGGAAATCAAATTTGCATGAAACCATGTCAGAGAGTGAATTCAGCTCAAATGGATCGGAGAAAGATGAAGGTAATGATGATTTTTCATACCCAGATCCAGAGTTAAGGAAAAAAGTAAAAAAAACTAATACTGTTATGCTTCCAAAAGATATTCTCAAGAGAACTGCTGATACTGCTGTTGGGGAACGAATAAGTCATAGGCAGCATGCTTCCATAATTAATAGTATAATCGCTAAATCGGGTGGAAATGTAGCTGAATTTAAATCTTCAACCTCTACAGCATTACGCGCTGCAGATAAGGTCATTCATGATGAATCAAAGAAGATCAAGGATGATTTAAGAAGTTTAAGAAAAATCAATAAGAACATTTTAGTCCAACTCCATTTTGATGGAAAATGTATGTCATGAATATACTGATGGGAAAAAATTGGAACAAGATCGATTAGCAATATTAATAAACGCTAACAAGGAAACGCACCTGTTGGGAATTCCACCCATTTCTTCTGAAACTGGCGAAAATCAAAAAAATGCAATCAGAGATATCTTAAATAACTTTAACCTTACAGACAATATACAAGCTGTAACATTTGATACTAGCAGAATCAACGCTGGAAAAAAAAATGGAGCTGTATCTTTACTGGTAAATGAAGTCTTTCAACGACCAGTTCTATCTATTGCATGCCGACATCATGTCAATGAGCTACACATAACACATTTCTGGAAAAATTATCAAAGTAGCATTACTTCTGGACCAGATAATCTGCTGTTTAAAACTTTAAAATCAGCATGGAATGATCTTGACGCAGACAACCAGGTAGGTTTTTACAAAATTAGCTACCATTTTGTGAAATATTATTTTTTCCAAATAATTTTCTTTTTCCAATTTTGAGTTCTTTGAATTTTTTTTTTACGTTTTGAATAAATAAGGTTTTGAGAAGATTGACTATTCCCGAGGAAACATGGCTTGGTCATCAAAAGCATGAAAGCATAACGTTCTGCAGAAATATTATCACCAGTGGGTCTCTAAAAAAGGTAGCCAATAACTAGATATCTGAATTTGTAGGTATCTATGTAGTATGTACTTTTATGTTGAAATTTTTTTATAAATTTTTCTTTTTTAATTATATTATCCTTTATTATACTAAAATATAAATAGGTTTATTTTATTATACCTAAATACTTATTATTTTATTTCATTTTTAGGATGGGGCTACAAGGAAGGACTACATTGAGCTGGCAGAGCTTACACTTATGGTGCTTTCTGAGGACAGGTACAAATTTCGTATTCCCGGAGCAGTCCACCATGCCCGCTTTATGGCAAAAGGTAAGGAATTGTAGGTTCATGATAAAAAAAGGTTCAAGTTGCAAAAAAAAGGAATTTGTTTTACATTATCAAATATTAGTCTTTTTAAAAAATTCAAAAAAAAGACTTTTTTTTATAGGTATCAACTACCTAAAACTCCCACATATGATGGATGCTATACCTAGTCTGAAAAAATGGCTGAAGCATGAAATTACTGAAGCGCAACTTTTGTCTCTGTTTTCTATACTACCTGGTTTCTCAATGCTGAACTATCTGCTGCTGCTCCAAATCAGGTAGGTGCCAACTTAAAAAGTATGAAATATATATATATATATATATATATATATATATATATATATATATATATATATATATATATATATATATATATATATATATATATATATATATATATATATATATATATATATATATATATATATATATATATATATATATATATATATATATATATATATATATATATATATATATATATATATATATTATATATATATATATATATACATATATATATATATGAAAAATGTAAAGAAAGAGGTGATATTGCTCAAAAACTATACAGCTATGAATTTCATAACATGGATGAATATCCGTTAGCCCGAATAAGTGCTAACATAGAGGTCCTCAATTCTTTAGACTTCAGTGGACCGAGGCCTCCCAGCTTAGTTCATTTTGTCACAGAAAATTCGTGGCTATTGTTCCTTATGATAGGCCAAAGTAGGGGTGACTGTCGATGGATGAAAACCCCTCCAGAATATTGGACTTGCAACGATTTCTACTTAAAATTTCAAGAGGCAGTTTTTAATCTTTCAGTTGTTAATGATTGCTCGGAAAGAATCGTTAAACTCATAAAAGACAAAATTGATATTGCCCGAAAAAAAGAGAAAAGACAGGATTCAATTTTATTTTTGCATAATTACAAAATGAAGTATGGAGGAAAAACTAAGAAATCCAAGAAAAACAAAAAAAAAACAATATAAAAATATAACATAACATTTTTAAAAAATAATTATAAATTTTATAGAAATTTAATTATAATGAAATTTGTTAAACAAAATTGCTAGACGTTTTATTCAATATAATTAGATTTTTTTCGTTTCATGTAATTTAATGAAGTTTCATGCAATATAATAAAGTTTTTATAGACCTTTAATGCTATATATAGATGTATTATGCAACATAGTTAGGTTTTTTTTTCCAAATGGCTTACCATATCCATAAAGATATTGCAATGCATAATATTCGGTAAAAATCTGAATAACTTTGCGTTTTTGTAGATAAATTTACACAAATTATTTTAATAAAATAAAATTACCATGCATTTTAATTTTTTTTATTCTAACTTAGAAAAAACTCTAGAAAAAAATATATATATATACATATTCATATATATATATATATTTATATATATATTTATATATATATTTATATATTTATCAATCTATCTATCTATTTTATTATATATATATATATATATATATATATATATATATATATATATATATATATATATATATATATATATATATATATATATATATATATATATATATATATACAATTATATATATTTATATATATATATATATACACTATATATATATATATATATTATATATATATATATATATATATATATATATATATATATATATATATATATATATATATATATATAGAATATATATATATATATAAATATATACATATATATATATATATATATATATATATATATATAA